CAGCAGGATTATAAAGCATCTAGCATACATGTAAAACAAAACTAAAAACCAAATGACAAAGTATGAGAGTTCAGATAGTCTAAGAATAGTGAAATCAATATTAACAAAGATAAAATGAGTTAAAGACAGATCTAAGTGGCATAGAGTTTACAGTAGCCTTGAATGCAGCCTGGCATACTGAACTCTTCAGTCTAATTTCTTTCTGCAAGCTATCCCAATTGATTATACAGAATACATGATACTTTTCTTTTCAATCGCTGTCTGTTCACCAGGGCAGATATATGACTTGTGGTTTAATCTGCATAGACCATGTGTAATGCAATAGTCGATGTGAAAGTGGACTGTGAGAGGTCAAAGTCCTCTTCCATTTCTGTTCATATTGTAGAATACACAAAAACATGCCAGCTGTATACTGTAAACACGACCAGGTAAGGGACAAGATCTATGAGTAACTCCCATGTACATGAAAGTCGGCTGTGACACCAGACTTGTGGCCAAAACTCGGATGGTAACACTCAGATGCTGAGTTATAGACTGGATCTGGTCAAAGTATATTTATCTTAGATCCAGGAGATAGAGGTTAGGAATGATGTCAGTGACCCATATGGTTAGACAGCCATCCTATTTTTTCAGCAATCTGAGACACATAAGGAGGAAGCTCTATAGGCTGTCAATTGAATTGACTGTTCAGTGGCCTGATTTTACACAAATGAACAGACCTCTACAGGGCGTAGCCCCATTATTTTGCCACTGGCTTTTCTCTGCACCAATTCCAAGATTCTAATCAGTGTTTTATTTTACAAATGGCTCTGGGTATTTGCAGTATGTCCTGCCAGAGGGACTGTGATTCTAACTTTTGCTGTCTTGGCATAAACTAAGCAACAAAGCCAGATGAAGAGGTTTCATTGTATAAACATTTGGTTGGCAGTTTCCCAGCTGAGAGAACTTAGAGAGAGATTTAAATAAATAGAAAGAAAGGATGATGTTTTATAACCAGAAGATTTTTCCTTGTGTTGATGCAGTGTGGACAATGACCTGATATGTCAGGACTCTGATGTATAGTCTTGCATGTGGGTCAAGATAACTGGCTTTAGCCAGTCAGATTCACTGCATCCATTATCTGTCAATATGAAACCCCACCCTGTTGCACATACTAGAAATAATCTTAAAAACCACAGCACAAAACACTGCAATAGTGTGCGTGTGTGTTGCATTAATATAAATCCCCTAAAAGTTTGGGGCACTGTAACAGAAAATAGGCTAAATGACAATGTTTTTGAAAAGCATGAGAGGACCAGACAGCTCACCTGCTGTGAAACTGACAGGCAGGTCATGAAAGAAAGAGTAATCATAATCTTATGAGCTTTTGATAAGAGCAAAGATTCATAAAAGTATGAACTCCTGGAAGAAGCTAAATTGAAGCTGTTGATGGGAGTTGATCAAATAGAAAACAATGGACTCAGCCCAAGGCAATGCCACTTTTTTTGCAACATACAAATAATGATATGCAAGGCCTCATGTGATCACTGGGATTATCTTTTTCCTCATGCTTGAGGGGCATGTTGTTGCAATGCAGCATTAAGATGCACCTTTTTTTAACAGTAGCATTATACCTAAAGCCTTTTATCAACCTGCCAAGCATCATGGTGCTTAGAGCAAATAGCTCTAAGCTACATGACACAGCAAGGCATCTCTAGCAAAGAAGGGTGAACGAATTTCTCTTCAGCCCTTATTGGCTGGTGGTTATTTGCTCTTGTGATGTGAAGAAGCTTTAAGGGTAGCACCTGTGGTCATATATTTTCAATCCTGGTCACACGCAGCACACAGGTCTAGACAGTTGAGGTTTATATCAGTGCTGTTTGTTTGATTAAACTTCAGAGCGGTCTTTTTGTACCTCTACCTTAGTAGCAACCCTATTAGTTGGCTCAAACTCAAATGTCCTCTTTATTATTATAATTATTATTATTTTCTCACCATATGATGTCCCAGTTAGCCAGGCTCCATGTGCAGTCAGCCTGGACTGGCTGCAGCTGGCTGCCTGTTCATATCGAGGCCTTTCACTGAGCTGTGTTTTTGTCTGTAGATGCCGATGGAATCGTGCATGGGCATTTGTATGTTAGCTTTAATGTAGCTCACATCACAACATGTGTTATTATCATGCATTAGTGTTTGGTACTGGTACTACAGCAGCTATGGTACCTTGACATTTGTGAATTAACACTGGACTAAATTTTTTCCATAAAAAATATTACCTCTTACTTACACGCACAAAATGTGTATTTGCAACTGTATAGCATAGTTTAGTTACACATAAGTGTGAGTCTAAATTAGAATCATACCCTACGTGGTAATCATAGGCGCACTTTAAGCTTGTTCATTGTTACATTTTGTTCATATTTTCAGAGTTATGTTTTGTGAAATGAATATCAGACAGGTTTGTGTGCATGCCTGTGTATCCTTTATAACTTGTGCAGCATTGTTTCATCCAATTTATATAGACACACTCTAAATAACTGACAGTCTTGCCAAAAGATCCCCTCCATTTAAAATAGAAATTTGTTGACCACACTAACAGTCTAAGGTTTGGATGCACTTAATGGGAAAACATGTCCAAACCTTTGGCTGGTACCTAACTGGTCTCTCATCTCCTTGTCTGTATTTCTATCAGTGCTTTTTAAGTCTGTCTTTGTTCAATCTAAACGCTCCATCTCCAGTTCATTTGCTTTGTTTTTCTACTTGCTAGAACAGATAAGCTCTCCTGTAGATTGGTGTCTTTCCTATCCCTAAAGAGTGTTTACCTCTGAGATGTTTTTGTGAAAAAAAAATCAAGCAAAGAGATGAGGAGGCGTCCTTCATTCAGCACGCTAATGAAAGCTTATTTGTAACGTGCGATGGAATGTGAGATGGTGACACGCGTACTCAGATGCATGGAGCGAGAGAATGAAAAAAAGACTGTGTGTGCGCAGCACAACCTGCCTGCTGGGAGTGCAGTGAAGGGAGAGCAGTCTGAAGTATCACATATACATATCAAAGTTCAGACATTACACACCACAGGCACTCAACTGATAGGCTAGTTGGATGTTCTCTACAGGAAAAGGGGGTTAACCTCTATGTCAGTGTGACAGCAGCGACAGTCTCTCTCTCACACACACACACACACACAACCAATGCAGAAACACTGGCACTGTATAGTCATTAGTCATGGTCTCAACCTACATGAAACACTGGCACTGTACAGTCATTAGTCATGGTCTCAACCTACATTGTGTGTGTTTTACTGTAAGCTAAATGCTAAACCAAAATATCCACTTTTACACCAACTGATTTTATCAAGTGGGGAAAAAAAATCAGTTTTATTATTAATACAGTCGCTGCTCCATAACTTTGGCTAACAAGACCACTTGCTGCATATGACTTGACCTTCTACTGCATATTGATACCAGAGAGCAAATAGGCCAGTCTCATTTACATTGCAGTGGAAGAAAAGCCACAGTAACACCACAGGCGGAACTACCAGGGCAGCCTAGTAGGTTTTTCCATGAAGGAAAAGACTCAGCAAAGTTACCATTCTATGATGGATTTGGCTTCCCCTTTCTATAATGAGTCAGAATCTTTCTTGGCTAAAATAGGACCATCCCACACAACTTTAAAGGTCTCTGTTTTAACTCATTAATAAAGTTTCCATCCGATTTTAGAAAGGTGAGCTAGTGGTTAGTCACCGCCCTGCATGCTTCTAGCCT